TGATTGGTCAACAGTCCCTTTCGAATTGGTTACTATGGTGACTCCTGAGGCCCTCCTCTCTCCTCATCCTCCTATTCCTTCTGGGCTTTCTCCCTTCTTTATTTTGTAAATATAGGCCTTTTTTTGGCTACTTCCAGTTCCCTTGTCTTATGGAAATGTAGCTGCCCCTGGCTTCCTTGTGTTATGGAGATGTACCTTCTCCCAGGCTGTAGCCCTGTGTTTTTCCGTGGACCCCAGTTCTAAGAATTCCCTACACCTGCCTATATTCCCCTAAAGCTCCTGTTTCAGGGTCAGTGAAGGAGGAACGCACGAGGCCGAAAGGGGTAAAGAATTGTGACGTTATTAGGTCACCGGGAAGCCCGAGGGGCTGAACCCCCACATGGCGTCGGCACCCAGGGATGGGCAGTCAGAGTTTTTAAAGGACTGTAGGCGAGCTTTTTCGGAGGGGAATTCTCCGGGCAAGTCCGGAGGGGAAAGTTACTGGTCTTAGCAAATGGCATGTGGTCTAAGCGAAAGGGAATGTCACAAAATAATCTAAAGGTCGGTTTCCCAGGGGAGGGGCTAGCGATTCGATTTTTTTTTTATCAGACCTCACAGTAACATTGGTTTTAAGTGCCTGGTTGATAGAGGTTTGCAGGACTGGGTGTCTGGTAACCGTCTGTAGAGCTGACTTCTTGGTTTCCTTGTTCCAGCTGGAGTTCCTTGTAAACGTGATTTTCGAGGCGGAAGCTTTAAAAGGTGGGCGCTGCAGATGTGACCCTGTTCCCACGAAGCCAAGTGGGGGCGCTGGTCTCCCTCAGAGGCACTGACAGCTGCTGCCTAAGAAGTCAGAGCATCACGTCCCACCAACCCCACGCCCCTGTCTCCAGCCTTCCTTTCACGATTATTTCATAGAAAACGGGAAAACGGGGAAGACGAGCAAACAAACCAAAGCTCCTGGACTGCATTCAAGAGAGCTGCAGGCGCCAACTCCTTGCTCTGAAAATTATGATGAGGAAGAATTAAGTTCCTAAAAACTCTATTTTTTAAAAATATATTTTATTGATTTTTGACAGAGAAAGCAAAACCAAATCTGAACTGCATTCAAGAGAGCTGCAGGCGCCAACTCCTTGCTCTGAAAATTACGAAGAGGAAGAATTAAGTTCCTAAAAACTCTCTTTATTTTGGGGTGACTTAATGGATCTAACAGATGAGGGGGAGAGTTTCTACACAGAATAATTGCAGCCAATAAGTGCAGAAGAGCATTTTAAAGTTACATTTTGCAACTTCTAACGAATTGATCCTAAAAACTCTATTTTAGGGTGACAATGGATCTAACAGATGAGGAGGGGAGTTTCTACACAAAATAATTGCAGCCAATGAGTGCAGAAGAGGATTTTAAAGTTACATTTTGCAACTTCTAACGAATTGATGCAGACTATTGCGAGATGGCTGTTTAGCTAAAACATGTCATAAAGGGATTAGGCTGTCATCCTCGAACCCACGGAGCAGTCCTAGCCCACGAGAGGCGAGGCAACCAGACCCTGTGTGTGGCAGTGGGATGCGTAGCATGCCGTCTGTGAGATGTAACTGCAAAAGGAAAGGCGGGCAGGAACCCCAGACGCAGGCACGCAGTGCTCCCTAACTCCAGTCCACAGCAAACACGGGGGACAGGGACACAGGCCCAGTGACACCCTGGGAAGAATCAGCCGTCACCAGACTGTGGAAAAGTTTAACGAATGACTCCACTTCAACACCTCAGTGACAAGGGATGAAAAGGGAGCAGGGACTGTCCCTTTACAGTAAATGAAACTTTAAAAAGACTTGGGAGACATCACGATGGGCCTTGTGTGGATGCTGATTCAAACAGGCCAACTAGGAAAGGCTGCTGAGTCAGGAAAATTGGATCTATATTGTGAATTACACTCAGTAAGGAATTATTGGTAATTTATTAATAATGCACTGTGGCTACCTTTTTAAGACGTGCTTTTATTTATGGGTGGAATTATATAAGCAGGGACTAGTAGGTACAAGACCAAGTAGATGGCCAAGTACCAACAGCTACTAGAGCTGAGTACAAGCACCTGAGTGTGTTACAGTCTCTACTGTTCTGTACGTTTGGAAGTTTTTACAATAAAAAACAAAATGCAGTAAAGGATGGCAATCAGGGTGGAGAAGACACTGTAAACGTAGTCTGAGCAGTGATCAGCTCTGGTAAAAACCGTGAGCCGTCACAGGGCTCCTCCGTCCTGTGCCTACAGAATTCAGCATTTCCTCTCCAACACAGACAGGGCTTCTTTTTTCTGTTAAATCTGGTTTTGGGACTCAGCCCTTTGTTGAGACAATGATGGTTGATTATCACCCAACAGCGAACATTTTTCAGACTATAATCTCCAATCTGATGAGCATAATTAAGCTAAAAAGAGACAAGCTTCATCCCCAAATCCTCCAATTCCAACAGAGAAAGCCCCTCCCAGCAACAGCAGTGGTGATAGCAGCTGCTTTCTTTACGTTCTGAGTCCCTCCCCCCCGCCCCCCATTCTCTTATCACCGAACGTGACCCTCTGGGGCAGGAAAACAAGGCCGGCTTCACTCAGCAGGGGCAGGTCCGGTGACACGGGAAGCATGCGGCGCCCCGCGCTGGCAGGTGGATGCGGCCAGCACGGCCCTCATCACCTGGAAGCGCTTCCTGGATTTGTTTGTTCTGCAAACATGTACGTGTCCCCCAAGCTCAGCTTACATCACAGGATCCGCCAGGAGGACGGGAATGCGTTTCCAGACCAGAGAAACAGAGGACCCGCGCGATGGACAGGAAACAGCTCCCACATCCCTCCCGCAGCCCTGCCTCCCGCTGCTTCCTCACTCCCACCTTGCGGTCCCTCCACTGTGGCTCCGTCTACCCTGCGTCTGCTATCACATCATGAAAACATTCAGACACACTGACAAGTACGGTGAAATGAGGCTCCCACGCACCCTTTGCCCACCTTCACCAAGTACCAACATCGTCCAACACATTCCTCCCAACCTGCTTTGTCCCGCGTCTGTCTCCGGAGCCCTTGGAAGTAAATCCCAGACATCCCCTCAGCCTCCCGTCTCACGCCCGCTTCCGGGGCGCTGGTCACCCTGTGCGGGGTGTTTACATGCCGTCTCCTCGGGGCCATGGGTCTTCAGGAACCGTCCCGTCATGGCTTCAGCAACCAGCGCCGAAACTGGCCCCCGGGAGGCGCTCCAGACACTCCCGCGACTGTGGGACAACCGCATGAGCGACCCCACCAGGTCCTTCCTGAGTTCCTGACCCTCTGAAACAGTGGCTCTCAACCTTCCTGATGCCGCGACCCTTTAATACAGTTCCTCATCTTGTGGTGACCCCCAACCATAAAATTATTTTCGTTGCTACTTCATAACTGTAATGTTGCTACTGTTATGAATCGTAATGTAAATATCTGATATGCAGGATGTATTTAGGCGACCCCTGTGAAAGGGTCGTTC